AATGATGTAAAGTACTTCATAAATGTAAAATATTGAACAAAAACTAATCAAATCACAGCTGTGAAAATTAAATAATATTTTTATGTCAATTTTAGGCTATCCTCCAAATAACGGTCACATGCAGTTATGGCAGCCAAAAAACACACCCTGACAGGGCCTCATTAGGTTAGGTGGCTCTCCTAGCACATTTGGACGCAAGCGGGACGGCTTCGGTCAGCTTAGTGGGAGTTCTCTCCATTGGCCTCATTGACAACGAGCAGAAAAAGTCACGAATCAAACAAGACAGTGAGGTCGATATCAGGGCTGCCAATGCTTGGTCATGTCCCCCCAGATCTGGGTTTTTCTTTTGACGCTGTGGGGAAATCTGTGGTTTTTTTTGTTTTTTTCGGTGTTTTGCCAATTTGTATGCTTTGATGACCGATAAATTTGCGTGGTTAGGGGTAGCGTTAGGGTTACGGTTAGGGGTAGGGTTAGGGTTAGGGTAAAGTTTAGCGTTAGATGTGTCGACGGACGGTGGATGCTACTGACACGGACAATTCGCCACCGATTGGGCACCAGCCGTGCGCTATTGCCGTCATATTTGGCACACGTCCAGTGGCGCCACTCCCACAAGCATCAGATTGTCGCCCAGTATTTGGACGTTCTACGTCACCATTTTCACATCTAACCCTAACCCCAACCCACACCCTACGCAACCCTACACGCAACTGTATGATGGTGGTAGACACCCTACGCAGCCCAACATGATGATAGGTAACCCTAGATGCAACGGTATGATGACTACGCAACCCTACACGCAACTGTACACAACCCTACACGCACCCGGATGATGATACGTAAGTATGTCATTTGATTCGTGACTTTTTCCGCTACTTGTTTTGAGTGCGGCCAAGGGAGAGAACTCCCACTAAGCCGACCGAAGCCGTTCCGCTTGCGTCCAAATGTGCTAGGAGAGCCGGTTAGGTTGTGTGTTGTAAACACTCAAAAACTTGAACTCAAATAATAAGGAATGAAAAAAAAAGGGAAAATGACAAAATCGACTACTTAGCGATAATTGAGGCCTTTATGTTTGAAAATTGTGGCACAGAAGTTGCAAATAGTGCCTAAAAATCTGCTCTTTGTGGCTGTGGCGCCATTGAAACTCGGCTAAATATAATTATAACAAGCCGTGGCTAGTTCCGCATTGATAACGCAGTTTTCACTGCCGAGATTATCCCGGGCGGCGCTGAGGGAGCCTAAACTAGATGGCTGGGATTCACGAGCTACTGCTTGTGAGTCCCATCCATTCAGCCTAGCACCCTCTCGGCGGTGAGTTTAACTTGGCGGTTTGTTGAGTCTTGCGACATCGCCGGAAAGAAGTCTGCAATTAACATGTAATTGAGGCCCTGTCAGGGTGTGTTTTTGGTTTACCTTAATATGTGACCGTTATTCGGAGGATAGCCTAATTAATTTTTTTTTAATATTTTAAAACTGAATTAGTGTGACACATTCCTCACAACTGGCTGATGATGCTTCACAAACAACTTCAAATATTTCTATAAGCCAATGGAGTCTCCGCCTCAGACTCATGTACTTCAATCAAATTTTCAGATTCCTTTTATGTCAATTAAACCAGCACAATGGGGTAGCTATTAAATATCTCGGCTATCCTCAGAATAATGGGCACAATAAATAAAGGAAGCTGCAGGAGATGCGGTAGCTGCTGATCGTGTGTCCCAGCAATCTAGTTTAGCCCCGCTCCACGCTGCGCGTAATTGCTCGGGAGATACTTTCGGCGGTACTGAGGCCCTGTCAGCGTGTGGTTTTGGCCGCCATACTATATGCCCGTTATTTGGAGAATAGCCAAAATCTCTTTCCACTGGTACTCCGTACCGTATGTCAATTCTAAGCTGAGATTATCAAGTTTTTGTAGAAATAAGGCGTAAAGGAAAAAACAATAGTTAAACTGAGTTTTCACACATAAAATGTTTCTTGGTGCAGGAAGCAGTAAAAAAAAAATCTTATGACAAACTTAATGGTTGTGACCAGAGTTAAGAAACAAAGAGAATGACACCAGTAAATGATAGCGTGCCACTAGGTAAATTACAATTGTAAAAAAAAAACCACAAATATTTAAATAAAATAAAAAAAAAAAAAAAAAACCCTGAGAGACGACAACAAAATGTAAATATAAATAATTGAAACATAAAGCTATTGATGTAAAATCGCAAACCAACATATTGGACAAATGTCATCAATACTAAAAAACAGTCAGGCTTAGACAATGACAACAATTGTAAAGAAAAATAGTAACTGAGAAAAGACCTGAGAGAAGAACAATTGACACATCAGTGCAAAGGATCAGAACTGATATCAGAATCAAATTGGGGCATATAGGCAGCGTTTGACTAGATTAGAAAAAATAAAAAATAAAATGGTTTTGCCATCCAGCTCAAATCCCAACATTACACCACATTGATCAATGATGTGTATTTCAGGTGGAAATTGAAAGAGATGCTATCCTCCGAATAACAGGCACATATTATGGTGGCCTCAAAAACACCCCAACAGGGCCTCAGTCACATGCCCTTTGCGCACTTCCGGCTACTTAATTTGACGACTTCCGGCGATTACCGCCACCGCCGAGAGTATCCCCTACGCCGCTCATGCAGCGGGGATTGGGGCTAAACTAGATGGCAGGGATTCTCGAGCAGCAGCTTCCGCATCTCCTACAGCTTTGCTCATAAATCCCAGCTATCTAGTTTAGCCCCAATCAACGCCGAGTGAGCATAAACAATCACGACTTTAATATGACGTTGAGCATCCAAAGCTACCATTGCAAAGGATGCAACATTGGCAGCAAGAAGTAAACATCAACTCGTTGTTTAACAGGCCACGTGGGCAGTCCGTGGGTTAATAAGCCAGTTGACACTCAGTGCTGTGGCACATATCACTCTGACTGCCCTAATGCCTTATGTTTTGGGTACCTTTTGGTTGATGTTCAACCCCACCTGGACATCACACCGAGTGATAAACACCAGGTGACACAGAGTGCCACCATTCGGATAGGATCACCCGGAGACAGGTCACAGAAACCCCATTCAGCCCTTAGGAGATATATTAAGGCCCCCGGGAACAGCCTGAGTAGGCCTTTAAAATGACCCCAAAAAATTGTCCCTCTGGGATGGTTTCCTAGTTCCCTGTGTACCTTTTTTAGACTGGAGTATAATTTTAGTATTTATTCACCTCTTGGTTAAGCTTTTCTATTGAATTATGTTGTAAAGTTACTTGTTGACATCTGTTGGATGCTATTTTTAAAGATACTTAACATCACTTATGTAACGATGGTTAATGCATCCTTATTGGTAATTGCAGCCTCATAAATCCCTATGCTTACAAGTAGCTGCATGAACTGTATGTAACCCAGCTGATACTGTTTGTGGAAATTGTCATAGAAAGTGGCTAACATCTGCCTGTGGAAGGTATGTAAAAATGTATAGTTTTGTTCTGTTCTAACAGACTGCTGTACTTTGGCAAAAGTGCAGTATAGTGAGATACTGTCTTTAAAAGTTATGTTACTAGGCAGTATTATGCTGATAGCTATAGTGTGCTTGCTAAATTCATTGTATACTGAAATGTTTGTTAAGATGCATTGTTTTATGCCGTTCAGCTCTGTGGCTCCGAGGTTAGTGAACGCACCTAACAGCATTGTCATCTTGAAGTACTAGGTTTAAATTTCTGTGACTAACAAGTTCTTTAGAAGAAAAAAGATGCTTTCATGGATTTTGCACAGTAGTAGGGGAGGCATGCTGTAGAAGAGATTTGGGCATAGTAGATAGCATGCTTTACTGTGGGCCAAGACTAGTCTGCAGAAGTAACAGTATATATCATCATGTAGCAGTTCCTTTACAGAATGTCGCTCTTATTGCAGTCTGCATGAAAGAAACTTGGTTTCTTACCAGCTCTCCCGCCTCTTGTACTTTCATACTCAAAGAGTCACTTATATCCTATGCCTATCTTCATGTTGGTCAGCACCTGTCTCTGTATATTTATTAGTACCTTATTTGTAGACCTTTTATAAGCCTGATGGTAATTTGACAGGAATTGTATATCTGTAGCTAAGTGGTCTCCAATGTTAAGCTTTCGCCACTAGTTCTGAAAGATGTGAATTTGCTTTTCAAACTCTCTTCAGTTTGCTTTAGTGCAGGTATTTCAAAGATCACTGGTGTCATTGCTGGAGTTGTATTTGTGCTCTGTGCTATGTTGTCAGCAGCCAAGTAGCTGCTCTAGAAGAGACTAAGCCATTTTCAGATAAAATAGTGCAGTGAAGTCAGACCTACATCGTTTAAATGCCTTTGTTAGATTAATTTTTTTTTAAGTAAAGTAACCTTTCTCTAATCACAAAGCCTAGAGGGTCTATGATACCAAACTCATCTGAGAGTGTTAGGCAGTCAGGTGCTACATAGTTACTATAGTCATAGCATGTTAATTTTGGGGCGATTCGTTAGACAAGATCAATATAAAACACCCATACTTGTTTTTAAAAAACCGTCTTTCCCCCTTCAGTACGACAGCCTAAAAGTTTAACACCCCATTGACTAAGTTACTAGGAGCAGCTATCTGGATGCCTGTTCAACAGCAACAAATCCAGTCTGCCACATTAAAAAAACTGGCATATTTGTGTGTGTTGGAAAACTTCCCATGTATGAGACAACCTCTGTTTTTTTTATTCCCGAATTAGGAAATAAATATTTTAAACACATTTAAGTGTAAGATCAACCTCCACTTTTAAACTTGAAAAAATTTATACATGAAAGAAAAAACAGTACACTGTTGCAGTTAGCGGCTGTTGAAAAAAAAGGAATCTGTGTTCTGTGGGATGTCAGTGATTAGTACTATATTCTCAGTCCATACCGTGAATTAAATTTGAACACAGGCTAGTGTGCTACCTTTTGTGATATTAAGGCTCCTGTAATCTTCATTGTTTAATTGCTACCCACAGATAGTTGATTCTGAATCAGATGGCTGCAGTGCGGGAAACAAATGGGAATGCTGGTGGTGATTCTGAGCTGGAACGTCTGCACAGCTCTACTGCTCACGACTGGGAGACAGAAAGGCGAATACGCAAAGATTTCCATGATGATGGGACATTGACATTTTTCTGGTAAATAATTTTTACTGCTACTTTTTTTTTCTGCCTGCATTCGGAGTAAAAAATCTCTAATTAGTCACGCTTAATGGCATGCTTGCTAGGGAGGCAGCGGGTGTCTTTTTTTTCTACTTCAGTGGGGCCATAGAAAACCTAGAGGTGTGAAGCAAGCATAATTTTTGACTTCAGTTGTCTCCCTGACATAAGATATTTTAATGAATTTGATGTTGCTTTTCATTATTTCCTGCCCACTCGAAACTTTTCCTATATATATTTCTGCCATTCACTGCTTCTCTTTCCCAATATTTTTCTATGTGCAAGAATAATTTCTCTTACCTACCTCTCCCAACGGTGAATCCCATACGTTTTTTTTCTCTCCACAAGATAGTTTTCATAAATAATGTAGTAATGCAACAGCTGTCAATAGTGTAAATTCACTTCTCTGTCCATAACGTACTGAAAATTCTTATAAAAAGCTACGTCTACACTGCCACTTTCCTACCTGTTTCACTGTTCATTATTCGTTATCCAGCCTTCATGTCTGTACAGCTTAGGCCTCACAGGGTTGCTAATAAAGTGAAGGAGGTTTATTTCCATATAATCATAGCAGATTTGGGATATAAGTAAGTCATAAAGTGTAGGTAATTTAATTAGAAACATCTCAGTTATTTACTTCCAAAAAACTTCTCAGTACCCATTTGTGAGGCTACGTTTGTTTATGATTTCATGCTGAGGCAGATGTTTAAAACTGACCTGTGTTAGCACAGCCTATAACGGCTAGCGGAAAGTCTTCTGGAAGTAAAGTTGCCACTGGTATTGACTACATGACCTATCAGGTGTCATGTGTTATATTTTCCGGTGTATAAAAGGTTCTCTATTTTTTAAGCCCAAAATTAAGAAATAAATATTTTAAATACTTTCTGTATGTAAGATGACCCCCAGTTTTTGAAGTTAAAAAATAAAATCTGAGAAACCATTTGTCTTATGTGCAGAAACATGTGGTAATCTATAGTTATGAAGCTAGCACAATATGCTTCTTGTAGCTAGCAGAAAGTGTTCTGGGAGGTAAAGATGCACTACATGTTGACTATATGATGCACGCCTCCCAGCGTAAAGGCATTGGGTTCAAATCCAGTCTTTTTCTCTCTAAAAATTGACGTTTGTTCCCAGGTTGATCCAGCATAAAAATTTAGGTAAAATCCTGTGAAGTTGACCACATTATCCATGATATGCTGATTTGTCTATTAAAATAGGAGTCTAGCATGCTCGACTCACCTCAGATGTGAAACGGGCCCTTTTATCTCGTTGGGTGCCTGTTGGTCTATCAAAGATGAGACTAGAACCGTGTGGGTAATATGCCTTAGTGCATTTAACAGGTTCTCAACTTACTTTACTTATTTGTGAAGCTGGGTGACATATACAAGCAGAAAAACATTCCCACCTCAAGTAGGATTTGAACCCAAGACCACTAGGTGTGAATAGTAGGCTACTATGAGTTGCCTATGTCGCTTATGGAAAGTTATCCCTGTTTACAGTGCCAGTATCGTTAAACATGTGTTGTTGAGTGTTAACTGTTTGAATTCCACGGGTACTGAGTGTCACTGGTTGACTTTTTTAGGACTATCAGTGTTATTTATATTATTATATATTATATTATATTATGTGGTGAAAGAACTAGGATTACACGGTAATGAACGGAAACGAACACTCAAAAAACTGGGAGAGGTGGCCGAAAGGGCCTCTAGCTGGCTTTGGACGCAGAGCAACAACGTAGGGGACGGGCCTCGGTGAGCTGGTCCGGGTATCTAGTGGAAAAGAGTTTCTCATCCCTTTGAAAGTCCATCGTGTCCGAATTGTCTGCCAGTGTTCTTCTGCCAACTGCTAATAAAAGTCCAACATGTGTCTGGTAAACCAAAGTAAGCTTGTCGCTCGGTCGTCCAGGCACGCTGACTGCTTTAATTAAGCTGCCGCGGCGACTTCTTATCTCACAGTACCTCCTTCGAAACCACCAAGTCGTCTTGTCTCTGGCCGAAAGTAAAACACCATCCGGTAATTCCGTGCAGCGGGGAACCAGCCCTGAGTGTCATGAACTCAGGTGGGCCCACCTCCGAATACGTCTAGGAATCGTGGGCCGAAACGTGTGTCGACGAGGATAATTTCTACTGACGACTGGTAGATCCTCGCCGTACTTGCTCCCTGTGAGTTTATTCCTATCCTTAAAGGGTCATCACATTGAAATAAAGATGGTGTAACTGAGAATATTATGGAAAAATCAATACAGATAAAGTGTGTGCTTAGTCTATGCTTAATCTACTTAATGAAGCTAGAGAAAGTTTAATAAGCCGGCAAGGGCAATCATTCTTGGTAATACTTGTTTGTAAACTCGGGAAGCTGCAGAGTTGGGTGCTGACAGTGTGAATTTTTGGTGTATTTTGGGAGTTTAAGATCGAATAAATCTGTTCTTATTATTTTAAATCCATTAGTCCTGGTTTCCTTTTCTGATCTAAGGTATGATTAATTTAAAGTAACACTTGCTTAGGACATCTAAAGGCAAACAGGAGTGTGCCCAGAACTGGTTGGAGATGTGTCTTTTCAGAAGGCTAGGATAAGAGCAGTCATCGGGACCTTCTACATGATGACCGAAGGCTGGAAGTTCACAGTCTGTTTTCTTCTGCTTCTCCTTAAGTGCTAAATGTATAAACTGAAAGGCCATTTTAGGACGCCAGATGGAAATTATGTATTTGATTTTACTATAGGTGTAGATGACTTTATCACTTCTTCACGTTCACCGGCTGTAAATGCCGGCAGAAAGTTCTGGTTATTCGCCCATTTCTTGACATTAGTCTAGTTCCAGAACTTGAGTTTTGAGTGCAAATCCATTCTACAGATCTGGCTAATGTATCATTTCATGCTTGCAGAATGATAAATCTTTACAGTAAATAGATATAACAGTACAAGGGGTAATAAATGACCATGCACTGGTAAAAAGTTCGCAGAAACAATCAGTGCCGCTGGGTGGTAACACAGTACGTTGGCTGAGTCCTATACAGATAGGTACTGTAACAAAATATGAAACTGATGTGTGCATTTTCATATTCTTTATTTTTTAATATTGCTGCAAGACTTTAAAAAGCAAAATAAACCAAGCATTTGCCATGCTTAACAATGTGTAGAAGTCATACAGACTTTATTTGAAGTTTAAACTTGGAGTATAAAAAAAGAATGCTTTTATACAACAGTAAGTGTCAGAAAAGGACAGCTGGAATTATACACAAACTAGAGACTTCCCCAAAAAATGTATAACAAGAATTTTGCAAATATTTTGGCTTAACAAGATCCCAAATGAAGAACTGAGGAAGGAAGCAGATGTACATCACTGGCAAATGTTATCAATGGCTGGATATAACTTGGACATGTTTGCAGAATGCCTGATGAGACACTGGCAAGGGCAGCTATCCTGTGGATGCAGCTGGAAACAGATGTTGAAGACCTAAAGAAACAGAGAGAACAGTAAAAAGAGAATTGGAATAATGTAAAATGACATGGGATGCCATGGGCAGGAAAGCAATAAATGGGCAGCAGTGGAGATCACTTGTGAATGACTTATGTGTCAGCAAGTTTATGTAGAGCAGGCATGTCAAACTGAGGGTCCCCCAGGAGGCCATTTTGGTCCAACTGTGTCGTCATGAGGGCCACACTTGACAACTAATTGGAGTTGTTTAATTAAAAAAACAAAATTGTGTGCAGAATATTTTCTTTGTATGGGTCGTCAGTTTGACATGCCTGATGTATAGGATATAGATAGGTCAGGGGTTGGAGAAACTTTTTGTGTCTTCCAAAGGCCAGTTAAATTTGTATAGCTTTATTTGAGGGCCATACCAGATTGTCAGTTTAAAAATTATCCTGCTATATTTGGTCAGACATTTAATGATGGTACCTTGGTAGAGCGGGACAAAGGGGATTTCAAGAGACTATAGATTGCTGCAGTAGACATCTTTGATATTATTTCACCAATTTGTCCACAGGAGAGCTCACACAATCCTTGTCCTTGTTCTGTTCAGCATTATCTTGATTTATGTTGCCCTATTTGAGGAGCCCACACAAGACGCAGACTATAATACAAAAAGGTGAGTGCCAGATTGAATGATAATTTAGTGTCCTTCATTACCTTTGTTATCACCATCTTCACATTAGTTATCACAAAGACTTGCTCAAGTCATTTAATCATATACTTTCTTAGCAGCTAACCTTAACCCAACATGGAGCTGTACCTAAAAAATGATAATTTTCTTAATGACGACTCACCTTGTGGTATCATCATCAAAGATAAAGAAACCCAGCAGCACCTAGATGATCTTGCACCCCTGTGTGGTGTCATTATGTCATGGACGGATTTTGAAGTATCTAATTATTTAAAACAATGTTTTCTCGTTTGTAAATTTAAATAATGCGGACACAAACTACATTGCACAATTTATTGCCAGGCATATTTCGCTGTGTCTCGTCAGGTGTGTTACTTCAGAGTTAACATATAATGAAGCCCAAAATGAATTAATGAATGAAATGAATGGATAGATGTACAGCGACTTGATAGTGTGGTTTATGCATTTCAGCAAGAAAAGAATTAATTTTGTGCTTCATTATTTGTTGATTTAACTCTGTAGTACTACACCTGATGAGGTACAGTGAAGTATCTAATTATGTTATTTCATTATCTATTTTTCTCAGTTTTTTTCAGTTGAGCATAAGCCTGATCTACTGTATGATGTTTTCGCTTGGCCTGCTGCTATCTAATCATGTCACTTCACTGTCACTGTCACTCTTTTAATTATCTCTAGCTCAGGATTAGCCTGAAACCCAGCAGTTTATTATTGAATATTTTTTTGGGTTTCATATTAGAATTATCTTGGTTGAAATTGTGTCTTTGGTGTCAAATTTTTTTTTAAAAGGTTTCTTTAGCTCATCAAAAATTATCCCTGAATTCAGTATTGGTTAGATAAGACCAGTTGTCCTATATGACTTTGACACCTGGGGTACAAGTAAAAGAGACAAAGGTTTATTACAAAGTTTTAAAAAGAGTGGCATATGAATCTTTGGACACGTTAAAGAAGCAAACAGTGGAGAATAAAGAGTATTTCATGATGCAGTGGTTAGGGCAGATGGAGAGAATGGTATACATAAGAAGGATAAAAAAGAGAGTTGAAAAAGAAAAGAGTAAACCATAAGTCAGAATAAGAAGAGATAATATATAGGCAGAACTACATAAATCTCAAGTAGTCAACTGAAAAGAAAACCTCAAAGGCTGTGACTGCTGAAGAAGGAGCAGAAGAAGTTAGTCATGATGGAGGGCCAGTGCCTTTGGATGCCAAGTCAGTGGTCTAGGTCAATGCCCAACAAAGACAGGATAATTATTTTCTGACCAATACTGCTTAGGGTCAGACCAAACTCATTGGTGCCAGACAAATTTCAGGCATTTTTTGAAACAGAAAACAAATAATGGAGGGAACTGGACATCTTACCCCATATGTCAGGTCAGGGTGTATGTAGAATAACATAATTGAAAAATGATCCTGTTAAAAAGAAAAGTTTGAACTACAGTATTTTAATAACTAGACGCTTAGATGCTTCTTAAAGGAAGATGAATTATAAATATAAATAAAACAGGCTGTTGAGGAGAAATTATGGTTTATACCGGCTTGGAAGCATTATCAGTCAAGACAAAGAAAGCCCGTTTAAAAAAAAAAATACTTGTCCCCATGTGGGTTCTGGGGCCCCCATTGTGGGGAGTACAAGAATCAACCCACTGCCTCCCCAACAAGCATGTTTTAATTGGGGGCATGCTTCAGAGTTGGAGTAAATCTCCCTGAGAGACAAGGGACCAAGTGTCTGCCTACAGATAAGCCAGATATGGGAAATGGATGTGCATGCAATGCTCAGATTCTGGAACAAGACTAAAGTCAGGATGTGGACAGGCACCCAGAACTTTCCACCGGAGTTTACAGCCTATGAAGGAGAAGAAGATGTGATATTCATCACAAATTGAATACAGGCACAAGAAAACAACAAAATACCATACTCATGGAGTGTAATCATGCAAGACCTAAGAAAGAATGTGTGTTGTAACAAACATCAGGATTTGGTAATTCATCGTTATTAATTTGGTTCATTTTGCAGGGGTCTTTTCGCTGTATGCTTAGTCTTTCTGTTGTTTGGGATTATTAATACACCCGATGGACCTTTTATTAGACCACACCCAGGTAAGTGCAGTTATTGTTGGATGTGTATTATAGCATTGTATGAGAATTATCCCTGCGTGGCTTCCAGGGTACTAATTTGGGGAATGACAGACCCGCTAGCCCTTATATGTTGTTGTTCATGCATCACGAGTGATAAAGACAATCTTTTCATCCAATGTAGTAATACCAACAAATTATTAATGAGGATGATAACTGGACGAAAGTGACTTGCACAAGGATTTGGATTTAAGTGAGGAAGAGTTGCACAGTTCTTGTACCTCACTTTCTTGTCTGTGTCCATCTTGATCCAATGGCAGTACTATGTCGAGATAATTGGAAATGGAGCTAGGTGCAGTGGATAACCAAGGCATCTTCAGTGCCCTGCCTTGATCGAAGCTCATCAGACAGCCTGCTGGTAATTGCCTTCTTGTCCGCTGAACCATAAGAGTTTTCATCTGCAGAGTCCAGTCTTTGCATGCAGGGTAGGCATATCCCAATCACCAAGTGGTTTACCCCTGATAAAGTGTGTTGTAAAATGTCGCTTATTATGAGTTTGCTGAAATCAGGTGTGGCTAGTCAAAAGGTGCAAGATAATTCACTCTAGCTTTGAAGTACAACACAGTGTGTAGATCACTCGTTAGGGGCGATATGAGAATTGTGTGAAGTGAAATTGTTGATTATCAGCTTAGGAGATCCTGTGTTTAGAATACTAAGATAAATATAGCCCAATGGCAGCTAGTGCCATTTGGGTGGGGAATGTCATACTTTCATATACTTTAGTGCAGTGGTTCCCATCTAGCTAAGACCTTAAGACACCTCTTATGTTTGAAGGTCTGTCACAGACCCCATACTTTTTGAAGTCATGCTGAAGAATTTATTTTAATTTATAAATAGGGAATCACAAAAACGATTGCGTTCAAAATGTGCATGTGTGTGTAAATAATATCAAAGATTCCTTAAATTTGTTCCCCTGACCAATAAAACTCAACCAGTCTAGTAAGCTTATATGGGTTGGCTGACCAAAGAATATCTGTTGATTTCCTTTATGTAGAATATTTTGTCTGTATAGATGCAGGGGAAATAGATCTTCAGCAAGGTAATTAATTAAACGTTTGCTGAAATCTCAGCCTAGCTGTAAACAGCAGTGTACTAACAGCTCTGTTTATCGCAAAATGCAGTAGAAGAAGAATATTCTGACTGCCTGACTATTGTCTCTACACCTTCTTGGCATGTTGGAGTTATCGTACAAGGCCCATATTTATTTAATCAACTGAAATTAGAGGGGTATCTTCTTAAAATTCATGCTGTGTGGCATTGGTAGTCAAGTCTATCCACAATCTTTTGTCTCGTGCACTTTCAAACAGCTCTGACACAGGTGAACCTCCATGCTATAGATCAAGTTGTCTTGCATCTTTTCTCTCGTCTCCATCTGCCTCTCTTCCCCTCCAACTTACCCACTGGTACGGTGTACATCATTTTTCTCTTTATGATATGACCAAAGTGTAGGTTGTTTCCTTCTGATTCTCTAGCTGTCTTACTTTCCAGAAAGTTTTCTGGCACCTCTTTCAGGATGCTTGGTTGACCCTGAAAAACAAGTGGTCACCAGGCGGAAAATCTCACTGGAAGATTTGGACTAAAACCACCTGACTAGCTGATGGATGTTGTAACCACTGTTGTGCCAAGATTCCTTTCATTGATTAGGCATTCTGTATATATTCTTCCCATCACTTGTCAGTCAGCCACTAGCATGTCCCTTGCAAAACCTTGCTTCCATAACAACCCTCCGGAAAACTTCTCGATCACAAGTAAGTCCCGTGTCCAATACACCCAAATAGAGATCATCCACCACATCCTGCACCCATCTTCTCTTTGGCCTTCCTCTTCCTTTCTTCCCAGGCATATACCCCTCCTTTATTGTTCTGTCTAAACTTTCATGACGTTTCAGGTGACCAAATTATCTAAATTGTCTGTGTTTTATCGTCTTTATTTGTCTTCCATCACTAGTTATTCTAATATAACATGTTTTGTTATCCTCAGTTTTCTGGAGGTTGATATTATGTATGAGTATATTGTATGAACTAGCCTTGGTGTTTCTGCTGTTTCAGGTCAGTTTTTGTTTTCATTTCACAAGTTTTTGATTTTGTTTTAGGAATCTTGTCTACTGTAGTTGTTTACTGAAGATACCACATAATTATTTAATGTATGCATTTTTATCTGCTGTAATTTCATGAAATCTGAGTTCATCTAGTCTGCTGTGGTTGTTTCACATATACATATTCATATAATCTTCTATAGTTGTTTCATTAAACCATGTTTATATAGTCTGTTATGGCTGTTTAACGTACACATGTTTATTTAGTCTACTGTGATTATTTTATGAGACCATGTTTGTTTAGTCTACTGTAGTTTTCATTATTCTGTGTTCATCTTGTTCATTGTGGTTTTCATGAACACAAATTCATCTAGTCTGTTGTGGTTGTTTAATGAAGACATGTCCAGTATGTCTTATAGGTAATTTATAAATGATCTTTTTTATGCTTTAGTTTCATGAATCCAAGCTCATCTAGTCTACTGAACATATAGCCATGTTGCAAACGGGAACAACACATATAAATCTTTGGATAAATGAAGAAGAAAAAGTGCAGATTTACACCTATCAGTTCTTTAATTTATGGAATTCAGCAGGTTAAAATGATCTATCAGAGAGACAAAGAAGACATATACAAAGTCCAAGGTGCATGACCAAGAGGGAGTCCACGCAGAAGATGGAGAATCTGTGAAACTGCACCTTAAAGCATTCAATGCTTGACATCTCAAATAGTGATTCTTCAGAATAACCTTAATGCAAGTGCAAAATGTTTGAAGAATTTCTAAAAGCATTAACAAATAGGCTGTTAATGTATCAACAGAATGTTAACTTATGTTTGAGTTACTTAAATTATTGAAGCTTATTACAAATAGGCTGTTAATGACAATCTGTGTACTAAAAATATCCCATTTGTGTTTTTGTGTGTGTGCACCATTTAGAATGTGCAAGATGCAAGAAACTTGCTGCTGAACATTGATGGCACATTAGGTCATCCACTGCCAGAGAAAGACTACGGTGGAAACTGTCTACTGTATGACTCAAACCACACAGATCCTTGGCATAATTTAAAGGTATGCACTTGTTCAGAATGCTTCTTTTCTTTTCTTTCTTTCCTTCCTTCATTTTTGTTGCTGTTATTGCTATGTGCACACAAGTGGCTGTGCATGTTACGATTGTTTTTCACTTTCCACAGTGATTAAAGTTAAGTAAAAAAGGACCTATCTAATGCCATTAGAATATCAATATTTTTTTAAAATCCATGCTTGATAAGCTATATTTGGTCTACAGATATAACTTATTTTTCATCTTCATTGCCTTAAAAGGGTTGTTAGGACTTTGTGTTGTAGCTTACAGCTAGGCTTTGATATCTGCACCTTTTGGCCCCACACATCTGATTGCAGCAGATTCTTAATGTCAGCTTTTAGGACATGCTTGTTAGGGACCAGTGGGTAATTTCTGTTTTGCCCAAAAATGGGACCTAGAGCTCACACGGGAAACAGATACAAGTCATCATTAGATAAAGAGATTATTATTAAGAACACGTTCAGTATAGAAAAAATTATATACTTTACTTTTTTTTAAAAGAAAATTATACACAGCGGGTGAGGTTGAAATGGGCATTGACATTACAGTATGTGACAAATGCTTTCTCTGGCACCTTACAATTCTAGAACTGTCTCAAAGGATGTGAATAATAATAATAAAAAAAATAATAAGACTGTTAACACTCGTGAAACTCTAGAGGCGTGTCCATAGAAGTAGACTTTTGTCACCATTAAACATTTGAGAAGATCTGCAACAAAATTATGCTGCTTTAAATCTGCAAACACTGTCTGAGACAGCGGTTCTCACCTGTGGGTCCCAGCCTTTTTGTGGGTTGAACGACCCTTTCACAGGGGTCGCCAAAGACCATAGGAAAACACAAGTTCACTGAAGTTATAAAGTAGCTACAAAAATAATTTTTTGGTTGGGGGTCGCCGCAACATGAGGAAATGTATTAAAGGGTCGCAGCATTAGGATGGTATGATATAAAAATTGGCCGTTTATGATGCTATGTACTAGAAAATAGCATTTGAGGGATTTTTTGGGAGTAAAAAATGCTATTCATTAGTCATTATGATAATTTACCTTCAGCAGTAGCTTTGTGCCATGTTGCTGTGCAAAAAAAAAAAAATTATATACTATTTTGGTGTTTACCAAGGGAATTTATTCAGTTAGTTCTCTGCTCTTTTTGTGTTTTGATTACTTCCTTGCATATATTTGCACACCAGCTAAAAAAACTTAGTGTGGGGGCATCATATCATAGTGGCTAGCACATTTTTCTCCTTCATAGTTTCTTATGATGAGGTTTTAGAGTAGTGTAATGATGTCTTGTGTAATGATGGTCATTTTTCTAAGACTTCTTTCGAAAATCTCATGTTATGCATTAAAAAAAATTGTATTGCATTTTCCTCTGCAGGACAAGATAGATGGATTTGTCCCTACACATTTTTTTGGCTGGTGGTTAAAGGTATAGTTCTGTTTTATTATACTGTTCATGTATCTCTGTGTGTTTCCAGGCTTGCTAGTTTGTGTGAGTGAGAGAGTGGGTAAATGATTTAAAACCCCCAAATTTTTTTTAAACATGTTGAATGTTGAATTTATAATTGACATCATAGCAATCAGGATGCTCCCATAAGTGCTCCATCTACATCTTCAGCAGCAAGCAAAGATTTCCAATTATCACCAGTAAATGTCTGATTGTGTCTCTGTCCCTTGAGTGTTGAGCATCAGCCAGATCCCTTGGTAACGCCTCACAGCGCCATTGTCCTCAGACAGCACTGATCAGTTTGTGCCTCCGCACTGTTCACTTGCTCCCAAAAGGCCCACACAAAATCTAGCTTGTCATACAACAGTTCACCCCGTGACTTTGGCACCTCTAGCAACTGAAGTACGCATTTACTGCGTGCACACATTTCTGGATTGTTCAAGGACTAGTTGTTTGTTTACCAGTTTTTCGAATACAACGAGGAACATTTCATTAGATTTGCTCTGGCACAGAAACGGAGCAGGTGTGGGGAAACCCCATTGCAGTGAAGTTGGAATGATTAAGACTAAGGCCACCAAGTGGTGCAGAACATGCCAGTCTGTCTGGCTGTTCGTTTCCCAACACACTCGCTTAACCTGGAGAAAATATCTAAGATGCTAACTACATAGAAATATTTACATGAAAATAATATTAGTACAGAATGCTGATGCCTACAATCAAGCTCTCATTCACATATACTGATTTAAATCAGAAATGGAAAACTGGTAAACTAAAAAAAATTGTCATTTAAAAAATTGCTACAACGATACACACTATAGGGATTAACCCTGTGGAGGCGAAGCTTTTTTTTGGAGTTTTGGTGCCGAGAAGACGGAGCCTTCAGAAGGGGATTATCCTAGTTTATACACACACAAATTATAAAAAAAATTAAGCGTTTAAACATGTGTATATGTATTCATGTAGGAAATTGAATGAACTAACATAATATTTATGAATCAAACTGAAATCTCAACATTTATTTAAATTAACTATTCTGATTTGCATAATTTATGGAAGCAATTTTTATAAAACTTGGAAACAAACATAACTAACCTGAAAAATGTGGGTGCATTTTTTTATGGGTGAAGCTTGAATAAGTCCTAACACCTGTATTTTGGGAATTAAGGCCTCTGGAGGCCCTTCAGACAGGTCTGGCACATGGTTCTACTTATTTTCCTGCCTCCAGTCATGTTTCAGTTGCTATGATAAAGCAGCCCTTTTCGCCATTTTTTGGGCACAGGTAACCCCAGAAAAAAATTGATGTAAAATTACAGAACACATCAAACTTTCTTGAAAGCAGTCGGTGAACAGCCCACATGTGCAAGAAATGCGAAAAGCAGTCTGATTGGCTGCAGCGAAAACCTGCCAGCCAATATCAAGGCTTTCATTACACAGGGCCGACCAATCGGCCCAGCCACCCTTCTGGCTACTTTGTGTTGGGCTGCGTTGTCTCCAGATGGTTAAACTGCCAGTAAAAATACTTAGCAACAAAATTGATGTGTGCAGGTATCAGTATGTTTGTGTGCTGTGTATGTAAAGTTCAAGCAAAGATTTGCATCTAAACATGATAACGTGTAGGATGTTATAATTGAAAAAAAAAAAAAATCTTAACCCCAATAGGCATAATAGGGCTTTAGCTTAGTTTCTTATCCATTTGGTTCATGAGAAGAAAGCTGTGCTTCTTCTTCCTAAAGTTTATGCCCTGTGGCGTTGGTAGTCACGTCCATTCACAACCTTCTGTCTCGTGTACTTTTAATCAACTCTGATACATATGATCCTCCATGCTATGATGCCATACTGTCCAGCATCTTTTCTCGGTTTCCCTCTGCCTCTCCTTTGCTCCAACTTTCCTAATGTCAGGATGTACTCTAGTTTTCTCCTTCTCATCACATGACCAAAGAATGTAGATTGTCTCTTTCTGATGTGGGCAATCAGTTCCTCTTCGTGAGTCAGTTTCTTTCAAGACATCTTCATTACTGTAAGCTGTGCTTAGAGGTTATGATAGAATTCAGAGACATATTCCCCGCCAGATACATAAATGGTTATGTTTCATTGCCCTAATTTTAGTAGCAAATTTTGGCTGTGACTTGTAATGTCCTGCATTCTGTCTCTTCCCATTTTTGCACACTAAAGTTCTCTATTTCCGTTGAGTTGAATTGATTTCACCAGTAATCTACCTGTCAAAGGAAAACCAAAATCAACTTCCGGTTGGTGTGCCTTGCCCTATAAGAGCAGCTTAACCAGCTAGCTATTATGGCTTGTTTATGAGACTCATATCTAACAGAATCAGTTCTTTTTGCACATACGCAGATGTTAAGCAAGACTGGAAATGGATACGTTTAATAAAAATAGTATTTAGATGGTTTTCTTTGAAAAAAATTGCTTTACTTGTAGAAACAACCATATTTGTTTAAGGTACTAAGAGACATAAACCAACGAATTCTCCGCTGCATTCATGTTTATTGATTAATCCCCTCCATGTATGGTATTTGTTGATGTTTTGGTCTGTAAATTAATTTTTTGTTGTTGCAATTTTGCTTGTGGCCTGATTTTTTTTTTTTAAAGGACTTTTTCCCGGAATTTTTGAAATAAGAACACCTAGGATCTTGGTGATTTTGTTTTTCTAGGTTAGGATGAAAGGGTTAAACTTTGGGCTGGCTCCTGTGTGCAGTATTAGGTTACAACTATATAAATTGCTATAAAAAATTAGTTTGGTTTGAAAATGTCAACAATGAATAATGCTTGTAATGAAACAACAATGACTTTAATGGCTACATTGACCATGCAGACGTTGATACTCCGAGACTGGTGGCTGTGTACTGTGTTGAGCATCATGTTTGAGCTGTTGGAGTACACCTTTGAGCACCAGCTGCCCAACTTCAGTGAATGCTGGTGGGATCATGTAAGTTTGTGTGTGTGTGTGTGTGTGCAGTCTTTAGCTTGTATTTAACATTTCATGATAGTCTGAATAATAACTACTGGATAGTTTAAATAATAGATATTAGTTTGAATATTAATTACTAGTTAGTTTTAATATTAACTACTAGATAGTTTGAAAAATATTTACTAAAAACAGTTACGTAAGTATTGCAGTATTGTTTAAGATTGAACAAACTACAGCTGAAATTATATTTATTCAAAAGTTTTGTCTTATTTAGGATATTTGAAACATATACCCTTAAACACATCACTTTTTCTAACCTGATTCTTTTCTATGTTAACATTCTGTTGTATTATAGATATCACAAAATCTTTAGTGCCTTGGAATTTTATGAGCAGTTATATTTATATAGCAGTTTTTATAATCACCTGCCCAGACGGCGAATGCTGTCACTTAAATGATAAATAGCATCTTCATTCCCACTGTGTGCGATCAGTCTTAAATATGGACAAAGAGTAGATCATGATGATAAATATGGACATGTACTTTTTCTCCTATTTTTGCCTTTCACCTGGCACTGGAGGGCTAAACCACCTCACATTAAGTTTTTTGTTAACTAATTTGGGATGTTTCCTTCAAAGTAAGAGTGCATCTGCCTGAGAGGTGAGGAACCGAAATCTGTTTACACATAAGCTAGATCTGTAAAACTGATGTGCACACAACGCTCAAGTTCTGATGCAAGACCACAGTCCAGAAGTGGAAGAGCAATCATAACTATGTGCCAGAGTGTACAGCTGATGAATGCAGTGAAGAAGAAGAAATAAAGATCATCTGTTGCTAGGGACATTAGAAAGAGCTCAGAGAAGATCCTGACATCCTTCCCCTCAATGAGGTAACTGGAAGAAAAGAATGGTCAACCCTAGAACCATGCTTGTTGGAGAGGGAAAGAATCCTGCCACTGTTAGAGATCTTTGCATTTGGTTTCGTATGCTCATATCAGACCATCAGATGGGTTACCTGTATAAACTCATATGTCAGCTGCAGGTCCTTTATGGATCCCCATAGCTTGCTGTGCACACTTTGCTCTTGAGGCCAGAGATAGAGATAAGCCACTACCTTGGTGACTGAGCGCAATAATTAACACACTAGATTTTGTGTAGACTAAGCAAAAGACTCGCCAACTCTAGATTACGCCATCTAACTAAATCACGTGACTTTTTGGATGGAGTCCCTCGAAAACTGGTTAGTGTAAGCCCTTTCAGTGTCTTGCATTTTGTGACATTTTAATGTGCTTGCAAAGTTCTGTGTTCTGAATGAATTCGTATTACATTTCTACAAGTGGATATTCTGAAGTAGATATACAAGATTTTCAAACTTTGCTGTTAGATTACAGCAATTTGAATTTAAATTCACGGGAGACGGTTGTTTTGCGATGTGTGTGTCACTGTTTCTAGTCAGTAGTTTGGATTTTTGGGAACTGGCTGTTTATTCTTTTTCTACTTTGAATGTGGAAAACTTACTTTTAGGGAAAATACTTTAAACAGTTAATTTAGAAGCCATATCTTGAGAATATCGACAGTTGTCAGGTGCAAACTATCTTGTGTTTGAAGAAAACTATTGCTTCCATATTGACTATGCATAAATGGTGCAACCACACTGTGGATAAATTGTGTCAAGATATTTCGGAGCTCTAGGTAAGTGGATGAAAATAATATATAATTTACTAACTAACCTCTCACAGCAAGTCACTCTTTGCCTCTTTACTAATTGTTGACTAACAGTATAATTATATGTTGCAGCAGTACACTAATAATATTAATCCTTAACCATTTGACTTATGCTTCGCGAACACTGGCTGTAAACTCTTGCGGAAACTTCTGGTAGTTCATCGACTTCTTTTGCATATTTGCAGTTCTACGGTCTGTTAATTTTTGTAAACTGGCTTTTGCTTTGCTTCGCGAACACTGGCTGTAAACTCTTGCGAAAACTTCTGGTAGTTCATCGACTTCTTTTGCATGTTTACAGTTCTATGGTCTGTTAATTTTTGTAAACTGGCTTTTGCTTCGCGAACACTGGCTGTAAACTCTTGCGAAAACTTCTGGTAGTTCATCGACTTCTTTTGCATGTTTGCAGTTCTACGGTCTGTTAGTTTTTGTAAACTGGCTTTTACTTTGCTTCGCGAACACTGGCTGTAAACTCTTGCAGAAACTTCTGGTAGTTCATCAACTTCTTTTGCATCTGTTAATTTTTGTAAACTGGCTTTTGCATTGCTTCGCGAACACTGGCTGTAAACTCTTGCGGAAACTTCTGGTAGTTCATCGACTTCTTTTGCATCTGTTAATTTTTGTAAACTGGCTTTTGCTTTGCTTCGGGAACGCTGGCTGTAAACTCTTGCAGAAACTTCTGGTAGTTCATCCACTTCTTTTGCATATTTGCAGTTCTACGGTCTGTTAATTTTTGTAAACTGGCTTTTGCTTCACGAACACTGGCTGTAAACTCTTGCGGAAACTTCTGGTAGTTCATCGACTTCTTTTGCATGTTTGCAGTTCTACGGTCTGTAATTTTTGTAAACTGGCTCTGCTTTGCTTCGTGAACACTGGCTGTAAACTCTTGCGGAAACTTCTGGTAGTTCATCGACTTATTTTGCATATTTGCAAAATAACGGTCTGTGTTAATTTTTGTAAACTGGCTATTGCTTTGCTTCGCGAACACTGGCTGTAAACTCTTGCGGAAACTTCTGGTAGTTCGACTTATTTTGCATATTTGCAAAATAATGGTGTGTGTTAATTTTTGTAAACTGGCTTTTGCTTTACTTCGCGAACACTGGCTGTAAACTCTTGCGAAAACTTCTGGTTGTTCATCCACTTCCTATGCATATTTACCAAAAAAATTGCAATGGTAAGGAATTGATTTCATCCAACAAGATGAAACTGGACAAATTTGTTTGTGCTGTTTGTACCTTGAGGATACATATTTAATAGTGCTATAAGTACTGTTAAGAAAACTACTCTGGGTGAAAAAAGTATTGCACATATCAATTTCATACTGATTGTGCTTGTTTACTAATTATTAAATAACAGTATAATTATATGTTGTAGTAGTCTACTAATAATAATAATAATAACCATCAATTATTTATATTTATGTTATGTATGATATGTGTATCTTTCATAGCAGTATTTGTATGTGCTAAATTTGATAAAGTACAAATGTCACACCCCCCCCCCTTTCCCCCCCCCCCCCCCCCACCCCCCCCCCCCCCCCCCCCCCCCCCCCACCCCCCCCCCCCCCCCCCCCACCCCCCCCCCCTCCCCCCCCCCCCCCCCCCCCCCCCCGCTCCTCTGATGCAAGAATACCCTCTCAGAATCAAAGAGTTAGCACTGATATTTCTTTACTTTTGCTGGAACAACTTTTAGTTTTCATCTAAACTTTATTGATGTTTATGTTCATGTTGACTGTAGCAAAAGCATTTTTGTTTGTCTGTAAGAGCCTTTATTGTTATATTTATTCGGCACACTTATTTACCTTAAAAATGACGTATAGTTCTATAAAATATGTAGAAAATTAATAAAACTGTGGTTTAATTTGCGTATAAATCTCCTCGATAAAAACTGTTAACACAGAGGGACTCAATTCTTGCACAAGAACGGGCATCCCTGTTGACCCAGTTGGCCTATTTATAGCTAAAGATGGCCAAGGCAAAAGAAAAAGGAAAATCTATATCTATAATTTATAGACAACCAGGGCAAGCACCCTTTACATTCTCCCAGCAGTGGTCAATAAGCGCTGTCAAATATTTGCATGTTATTGTCCATATTGCAAATTGGCTGCATTTGATCTGTCTGTCACCCAGGTTGTACATTTTGACAGCCTGCTTATTGTCCATATCTTGATACCTTTCCGCTTGTATCACTGTCTACCTCTTGTTCGCTTCAACTTTTTCTTCTAGTATGGCTTTGATTAAGAGTGACATGTCTTTGAAACATCTATCTTTTGCAGTCTACACACTGGAAATGTGCACAAACAGATCTGTGGCTCAACATGTTATACACTCTTAGAGTGCTGTTTGTTAGTATATTGATGTTATTTTCCCACTTGTATGACTGACTTTCTCTTGCCTTCGCAACCTTTCTCTCCTCTATAGTTTTTACGAAAATTTGATTTTTGTTTTTAAATTAAAAAAAAAATTACATTCTGTTATTGTTTTAAAAATGTAGGGTTATTGTTATTGCATTCATTCATGACATCAGTGTTTAGGTATGATAGTTTGTCATTATATAGTATTAGTAAAAATGTTAGTTTGTCATAGCAGCTTGTAAAATTTAGAAATATTTCAACTTTTTATATGTAGTGGATCATGGATGCATTCTTGTGTAATGGATTTGGCATCTACTTCGGTATGAAGACTCTCAATTACCTGTCCATGAAGCCTTATCACTGGCGTGGTATGTGGAACATGCCAACATATGGGTAGGTTGCTTTGCTGTCATTTTCTTCTGTGCAGAATTTTTGTGTATAATAAAAAAAATACAATTTAAAAAAAACGTTCATTAAGCCGCCAGCCCACAAACGAAACCTGTTGGAGATTTAAAAAAAAAACATGAACCTGGGGAAAAAAGGGGTTAAAAAATACCATTTTACACAGGTCACTAATAAGTTTAAGAAAATATTGTTTATATTTATTTGAAAACTGTTTAGGAGTAAAATGAAGTTGAATGATGCAGAGAATTCAGTGACTACGTTCACTTGTGTCTTAAACAGAATTTATGTGACAACTCATACCTTGACCTGGTGACCCCAGTTACTAATAGTTCAGAGACAGTTGTTCATCATCATGGCTTTAAAAAAGCTGCCACACACACAAGCACACACATGGAGTTAACAAGTAAATCTAATCATACCCTGATTATTCTCAACACAGACAGAACCATTGATTTTAACTAAGCCTCTCTTAGACTTGCCAAAGTGAGAATGCCCGTTTAGCGGCATATCTGGGATTAACAATGGGCAGAAATGTCAGGTTTGCAGCATTTTGAGGCCAGAAGGTTGAAATGCTTTTGACAGATTTACTTTTCTAGTCTATACCTTGTGGTTTTTGGTACATTTCTTTTTACAGTCCATGCCATGTGACCTATTGCTTTCTTGTATTCTTTGCAGTGTAGCTTGGGGCTTTTTTTTCTATAGCCTATACTGTGTGGCCTTTAACACATTGCTAATAGTCCCGTGAAGATGTTTTGTGTGAGTTGTTTGTTTGTTTTGATTGGAGCTGGTTTTTTTTTATGTAGGAGGATGGCTGGCTGCTTAACTTAATCATAGGACAACAAAGAATGAATCTGGTTATAAGCTCCATTTAAATGATTATTGTAAATTCTCAGAATTGTGCAAGAAAGGACACTTGATGGTGATAGTGTATAAATGTCTGTATTAATTGTTCTTTTTTTAATTGTTTCTGTCACTAGGGGAATGTTGAAGAGATTGGCTCAGCAGTTCACACCATACAGTTGGACAGACTATGACTGGAAGCCAACATCAAGCCTCAAGCGCTGGTTGTCAATGCTTGGTGTTATTTCAATAGTAAGTTTTGAAATCAGTTGGTTGTCAATGCTTGGTATCATTTCATTAGTAAGTCTTGAATTCAGTTGGTTGTAGATGCTGGGTGTTATTTCAGTAGTCAGTCTTAAATTCAATTGGTTGTCAATGCTTGGTGTCATTTCAGTAATAAGTCTTGAATTCAGTTGGTTGTCAATGCTTGGTGTTATTTCATTAGTAGGTCTTAAATTCAGTAATAAGTCTTGTATTACATTATTTGTTAAGGCTAGCTGTTATTTCCATAGTAACTATAAGTTGTCTTAAAAAATGGTTGTCAATGCTAAATGTTCTTTATTTAGTAAGTTTTGGCTGAAGTTGGTTGTCTGGGCTAGGTATTAATTACGGTGGCAAGCCTTGACTGAAGATGGTTGCAGGTGCTAGCACAGTTTTGTTTTATTTGGGATATTTGAAACATATACCTTTGAACAAATCACTTTTTCATACCTGATTCATTTCTTTTCTACATTACCATTCTGTTGTATTATAGATATTTCAAAATCTTTGGTGCCTTGGCTTTTTTACTGACATTTTCTAGCAGTTTTTATAATCACCTGCCCAAACGGCAAATGCTGTCACTTATCAGCTGTCCCCACTGCTCCAGTACAACAATGTCTCCCTTTCACAGAGCAGCAAATGATAAATAGCATCTTCATTCCCACTGAGAGATCAGTCTTCAGTATGGTCAACCCCGGCTCTCTAGCGGAATTGGCTAAACCGGATTTCGCGGAGACCGGGTGACGTACTCCTTGTGGTCCGGGTTCAATCCCGGGGGTAGGCAGGAAAGCCACATTTTCTCCCAGATTTACGGTATTTACAATGGAATCAAGGCCGAAAGGTTGCGAAATCCATAATACCGAGCCTAAGGGTTAACAACTCAGGGCTTCTGGATACTAAAACAAACAAACAAACAGTATGGTCAAAGAGTAGATCACGGTGCCAAATATAGACGAGTAGATACCAGATACAGAAAATTACTACCTGCAAAACACGTGGTCTCTGAAAGGCCACCTCACTGTGTTGGTTAGGGGGCCCCCTTTTGGAGAAAATAACAATAGACCCACTGCTTCGCCAACAAGCATGTCTTAAGAGTCGTCTAATTGGGAGTTTCAGCACAAAAAATGAACAAAACCATAGCTCAAGACAAATACAGAAAACATGACGCTGGGCTACAACCCTGTCACAGAGCGATTTAAAAAAAAAAAACCATCGCACCCCAGTACTCCTGGCTTCCCAACATTGGAGTTGGAGTGACAGCATATAAAAAACCTGTTGCGAAAGGATTGCCAAACTGTACACAATTGGTGCCAGTTTATTATTATTTCTCTGCTGCTGTCTTTTTCTCGTTATAGAGAACTAATCAGGTGATAAAGTTACTTTACCTTGTTTGGACTTGTCACTGCCATTGGCTCCTGCCTGTCATCACTGGTAAACAACAAAAATTCCTCTCTCGACTTTAGCTAGCAACAAGCTCTCCTCATCTGCTCGACCATACTTCTGCATTCCCCAGACACTCAATACTACTGTATACCATTCAGGTTCTCTCACACATCCGCTGTCACACCGACTGCTTCCTTTCACAACATCTCACAGAATCCTCTCTTCTTACTTTCTCTCGTACACATTTCCACTTCCCTTCACAAGATTTCCCACAATCATTCTCTCATTCATGTAGAACTCACAGTCCCCCTGTGGACATGTTTTCCTACTGATTCTTTCCCAAGTGGCATTCAAACTTCTGACCCGTCCTTTTGAGGAACTCCTTTGTGACGTTATGAGATGTCCCACTCATTACAGCAAGGGGAAAAAAACACCTATACAGCACAGTGTCTTTGAGGATTCAATAAAAATAAAAAAATCTAGGCAGCATGTCATTTCCTTTCCAAGGAGTCACTTGAGATGAACACAAATGCACCTGACTTAAAAGTTAAAACTCAGTCTTGCAGAGGGCTGACACCAAATAAAGATACCTATATATTTGTAAGCATTAACAGGAAACAAGGAGTGTTCAGATAGAGACATTTATGTGACTCTACACTTTTAAGGCATCTGTGGAAATGCATTGACTTGAAGTGAGATTTTAAAAACTGGCATGGTTCCCCACATTTGGTATCTAAAATGGGTACCATGAATTTTATTTTTGGGAGATAAAAGTGGCTGACATGATGTTGAAATCATTTGCTGAGCATTGAATGTCAATGCAGTGATTGGGCAGGCACTAGGATATGTTGGGCCGAACAGCAGCCTCACTGTAAACTGCAGCACAACAGGCTCTCTGCCGTTTTATGGGTGAACACGTAAGAAAAAAGTTCAAAATAACTGGCTTGATGCATTGGTTTCATATTGGCATACACAAACAATTTATCACATAATGCGTTGGTATCATAGAAGCACACATGAACAGTTTATCACGTAATGCGTTGGTATCATAGCAGCATACAGCATCAATTTAGCACATAAATATTGCACATTCTTCCTATTTTAGGATAATAAATTATGTAGTGTCTAGGAAGTAATACAGTGCAATTTCTGTTGCCAACCTGCAGTTTTTGCTTGCTGAGCTGAACACATTTTACCTCAAGTTTGTGCTGTGGATCCCCCCTGAGCATTATCTGTGTTTAGGCAGGCTGGTGTTCTTTTTGTTCATGGGGGCAGCCGCTATGAGAGAAGTTTTCCAGTATCTGGATGACCCGTGAGTATAAACATGTGACTTATTGTTTTTGTTGCTGTAGGCTGGGCAAGTAGGATTCACTTGTCTTTTTTTTTGCTTGGAAATCAAATTCATCCTTTTGCAGATCAAGTTTTTCTACAAAAATATTCTGACTCTGACTCACAAAGCATGTTGAGAAAGGTGGAGACAGGCATGCTCTGTGCAGAGTGGCAAGGATTGCTTCGGAGATACTGGGTAGTTAGTGTGGTATATTTTCTTCAGGTCATGCCGATGTGTCAGGAAATGAGCAGGCAGATAGATTGGCCAGTTCTGCTTCAATTGGTGGTTAATTGATTTATCACATGCTGGATGTTGTGAGGACTCTTTGGGAGTGAATAGTGTGGAAGCACAAATATATCATTACAGTCTGAGGAGAATGGCACTGTTAGATGTTACCAGTAGATTTGGCTGACGCTCAACACTCAAAGGAAAGGCAAGACGGGTATACAATCAGACAGTTACTGGTGCCATTAGAATCGGAACTCTTCACTTGCTGTTAAAGATGGGGACCGAGCGCTGTGATGTCAATTCTTAATTCAACATTCAACACAAAAGTGAAATCCGATTAAAGTTATTGTTAAAATTCAAAACTTTTTCTATACGTGTGATAATAAACATACGATACTTGGTTAATACAGAATTACTTACTTACTTATAGTTTAATTTATAAATGTTATAATTTTATGCACATATTCATAAGCATTAAGTCTGTATTAATAAAACTAAATCAAATAAAATTGAATAAATGTTTATGATTTATGTTTATGCATAGAACTTATTTTTTCACTTTAAAAATATGTTTAATGGGGTCCATCACCAAAGAGTATGATTGCAGTAGAAATAATAAAGTCTGCCTTGTTCGACCCAGATTACACACTTCCTGGGTGAAAGCTGCCATTGTCGGCCACATTGTTGCACCTGTCTTGCAAAGGAATTAGTATTATTTTATATAGTCATTAATATGCTATCCCGATGTGGGTTCTATGTCATTTGGGGTGACTATTTAGGGGTGGTTTTTTTCCCGAAGGAGTGTCTAGCTGTGTGGCAGGGTCTGATCTTTCAAGCCAGCTCCAGATATAAGGCAGTACAGCTCAAACGGGAATTCCTGTTTTTATGTGGCTGGTCAGTGGTTACAGTTGTTATCGATTAGATTTTGCAAAAAAATTTGAAGATAAATAAATGGGCTATTATAAAATATTTATCTTCAAAATGATAATTTATTCAATAACTACACAACTGTAGTTCAGTTTGTGTATAAATCTATTCCATAACAATTTTTACCACAGACCAGTCATGCCAGCCTCACAAAAACAGGAATTCCCCTTTGAGCTGGATCTGGCCGTGGATCTGTCTGCATACAAAATAAACCAGATCTGCAAAGCTAAATCTAGAAGTGAACAGCCATAATTTGCCACTTACTGTAAGGAATATGCAACTAAATCACATTGAAATCTACATAAATGTTAAGTGTGTGTTTCTTTTTTTTTGTTTATTGAAATCGACATACTTGATAATTGTATGCTATTTAAAAAAAAATTGAAATCAACATTAAAGATAATTGTACGTGTTTCCATTTTTAGAAACTGTAAAAGGTTTGGCCGCCAGTCCTGGGTGATTGCTGCTGTAATTATCACTGAATTTCTGATTGTACTGAAATTTGACTGGAACACAGTGACAAAACCCTTGCCCAAGCCCATTGCTATTTTTTGGATAGTGGGACTGTTGTGTCTTCTGTTGTGGACAGTGTTGAAGTTTTACATATTAAAGGTAAGAAGCTTAACTGCATCTTTTTGTGTTCTTTTTTTTTTTGGATTTTCAGTCTGCATTAGCAGGAGAAAAAAATTCTATTGATGGTAAAAAAGGCTGGCATTGGAAAGAACACAGGTTAAGAAAATATGACAATAACTAGAATGTACTTGTACTACAATCCACAGGGTCAAAGGAATAAAGATCATTATCATTAAAATCATTAAAAACAAAACAAAAAAGAAATCACCAATGAAGAGGATAAGAAAAAGAAGTGGAACAGATAGGTAGAACATTGGGTGAGCTGCATATGACCTCAGTGGTTAGGGTGTTAAAGGCGTAAGCTTCAGTTGAGTAGAAGTTGAAGAAGAAAGTGGAATCTATGACATCTGATGTAGTCTAGAGCTGGGATGAGGAGCACATTTGGATTTTTATAACCTATTCATGAAATTGTATAAGGTAGGAAAACTGGCGAGAGTTTTGAGTTTCTTTCAAGCAAACCGTAATAACAACATTCTGAACAGGACCCGCCATAATGATGACTTCTAACTGCAGCTGTGATCAGTACAAAAGCTGTTATAAAGGAGTAGTCACCACCACCACCCAAAAACATAATGCCACTTTTTAAAAAAAATGTCACAGATTTGACATTTATGCGGCAAGAAAGTTAAATCTCACATATACAGAGATGCAAAACTTGGGATGGTAAACCGAGGAAGTTCTGCTCCTCCTTTAGATAGTTTAACTCTTTTCCCACTTAGGGGTCTTCTATGTGTTCTGAGGTTAACTAAAGAAGAAAGAATAGATTCAGAGCAATGGAAAGTCTACCAGTTTTATCTTCTTGAAAAATGCTGTTGTTTAAGACTTAAAAGTGCTGGAGTAGATAATGTTCTGTCAGAATTGTATCACTTTAGAAGTCTGTAATCAGCTGCTCATGTGTCTTCTGTCCATACTTATGTAGTATCTTGTATATGTTTTGTTTTCAGAATGTTATGCATGTAAGTAAGTAGAGATCCCTTTTCATGCTTTTAGGAGCATCGGGCATATGGGAAGAGCACCCATATTTTTAACAGACCATTCGGCACTAGGTGGGTAATGTGGTCAGCATTACACCGGCCGTCTTTACTTTCCCATGACATACATCCTGGTACCCATTTTACGCTGAGTCGACCTGTAACGCCACATACCACGATAAAATTCCACGCAGCCTGCAGTGGGTTTTGATCGTGGTACATTGGAATTCCAAATCTGACTAAGCCACAGATGCCGCACATTATGCGCGACATCCCTAAAATCAGAGATGAGAATGTCAGTGGCACCTATAGTGATGGCATGAATAGTGTTGGCATGGACAGCATTGACAACATGAATAGTAGTGACATTGACAGCACTAGCAAGCATAAATCTGATGATTATAACTGGAAATGGTAACATGACAGCTAAACACTTGTGGCAAGTGTGCCCATCATTTGCAGAATAGAAAATGATTAGGCTCAGATCTATTCCTTTTGCGGATATACTTTGTGGAATTGTCAATAACCTTGAGTTGACTGCTGATTTCTTTGCTGATGTCCGAATGTGTAAGAAGAAGAAAAACTGTCTGGGAATCTCAGAGCTGTGGTAATTAAAGATGCAGAGTTCAGAAACTATAAAGTGAAACCAAAAACATAACAAAAATGAAACAGACCCATCTATTAACTGTCACACTGAATGCCCCTGGACTTCTGTGTGGGGCAGTCAGTGTCTTATGAAACTTTAGTGGACTTGAAAGTCCAAAGCAAGATAAGTCTTAGCATGCAAAGTACTCATTTTGGGTAGGTAATTTAAATCCCAAGTCTACAGACTGCTTGTTGCTGGCTTTTAAAGGTATAGCCTGTGATGAGTAAGAGGCTCAAGAAGCAAGGTTAAACAGTCATGAGCAGGAAGTGATGGCTCTTTGTGCGAGGCCAATACTACATCACTATGTATCGACTCTGCATTTACATAAACCTTCTAGGATGTCGGGGCATGCTTTTGTTCAGCCCCTGCCATCTCTTGAAGGCTGACCAGCATTATATGGTTGGTCTGGACCAGTCTGATATGGGTGGGGGGTCTCTACCTGTGGACTAGGAAGCATAGATGACTACACATCAATGTGACTGCAGTGTCTTAGGAAACTTAAGGGAAGGAGAGCCCTTGCAGCGAATGCTTGCAGAAGTTTGATGAGACAAATATAGAATTTATATGTTCCGTTAGAAGAGAGAAAAAAAGGAAGAAGATTTTAAGTCTTTAATTGTCCTGTCGGCTGTCTCCTGTTCATACTTATACAGTACTTTGTGTCTGTTTTGTTTTCAGGATGTTAAGCATGACATCCCCAAAATCACAGATGAAAGTGTCAATAAAATGGACAGCCATGGCACGAACAGCAATGGCACTGGCAGCAACAACAACATCAGTGACAACTCTCCGCCTAGCCCTCCACAACCTCAGGAAAATGGCAAGCTTCTGTTACGAAATCGGAAGACTACAAGAAAAGATTGAAGTATAGAATGACAGACAGTATCTTTACAAAATGTGTGAATTTTGAATGCATGCACATGTGTATAAAGCATTCAGTATAACTGTTGAATATGTGTTGTACATCAATACATCATCCAATGTGATGATGATCATCATATCATTTTGTTGAACCATTTATACATCACATATGGCTCACAATCTATTCCTTCATTCCAATCTATCCTGCACAGTCAATTTGGTGCTTTATACCCTACCCCAAACAGGGGAAATACACAGGTCACGGGACAGTCTAATATTTCAGGGTGTGGTAGATAGGCTGTATGCAGTTATGGGACCTAGGCATGCATTTTTTGGGACATAGGCTGCACTCTCTCGTGGGATGTAGGTGGATTGGGGCTCAGGGCCAGTTCTAGATGTTTTGGGGTCGTTAAAAGCATCAGAAAACTGGGAAACCCAGTCTTACCACCCTCTAAAATTTTAGACTATCCCGTGACGTCATCTGGGGTAGAATATTAATATAGAACCGTCATTTTTGATATCATGGATCTAAGAGTTTCTCCTGGACACCCTCATTTCCACAATAATACATTTGTTTCCCATTGCATTACCTGTTTAAATGTCTGTTAGCTTCTTTTTAGGATGAGCCAAATATACCACCATCTTCTTAGTCATATTAACTATTGATACTAGCAGTTATCCAGACAATTCTCTTATTTTCTTGCCTTTCTTAATTAAATTAATACAAATTTTCGTCAATTTCCTGCCAGGCATTTATTTTTTTATGCATTTAACTGATGTTAAAATTATTTATTTTACTTGACACATAAATACACTTATTCTGTAACAAATTTCAGTTACTGAACTGTTACTTGTTTTCTGTTTGAAATTTAAATCGTTGTTTCACAGTAGGTACTTTTGCTAAAAACTGGTGCTGTTCTCAGTGACAGTTGCCAGACAGATGTATATTTTTCCACGATAATTGTAATGTAAATGATATGCGGCCACAAGCCATTGTTGTCATCAGGTAAATGCTGTGATGACTGGCAACATAAGTTTAAATTAAAGAAATGAATTATTATATAATGTTAAGAATGAATATATATTATCATTATAGTTATATCATCATCATTACTCTTTAAATCACTCTGGGAACAGTCATTAAATGTAAAACTTTTCATTTTTCAAGAAAGCTGCGAGCCAAAGTTATACTTGCCATGTTGCCTTACAAAACAATTTAACTTGTTGCTTATCATGTTTGTTTCCCCAAATATGAATTAATGCACACAAATTTAATTAAATCGTTCTCAATATGGTCAGTTCATAGTTTTCACTACAGGAGTTACAAAGCAGTTCACCTTTGAAAATATTGTTGCTTATAGTTTTTGTTTCTCCAACCATGAATTATTATGTATTAATCAAATTAAATCGTTCCTAATATGGTCAGAGTTTTGAGTACAGCAGTTGGTCGGCTCCCTTAGAAGATTGGGTGATAACAGGTACACCATGACCAAATTTGCTCATGAAAATATTCTATCTTGATAAAAATTTGCTGCTGAAACTAGTGCTGTGCTACCGATGATACTCTGTCCTGATAAAAGTACGTTTGAAGATATTTTTTTAAACAGAATTGCTTGTGGACATATCCTGTTTCGACAAAATTGCACCTGAAATTTTTATACCTTGACACGAGTGCTGTTGCTGATAATGTGTCTTGACAAAATTTCTCTAGATCAGCGGTTCTCAACCTGTGGGTCGCAATCCATTTATGGGTTGAACGAATCTTCACAGGGGTCGCCTAAGACCATCGGAGAACACATTCTCTGAAGTTATGAAGTAGCAGCAAGAATAATATTATGGTTGGGGGTCAAAACAACAAAAGGAACTGTATTAAAGGGTTGCGGCATCAGGAAGGTTGAGAGCCACTGCTCTAGAAGATATCCTATGTTGATGCCTGAAGATATTCTGTCTGGAAGACATTGCTTTTGATGATATCTTGACAAAATTGAATCTGAATACATCCAGTCTTGACAAAATTGCATCCGAATACATCCGGTCTTGACAAAATTGCATCCGAATACATCTGGTCTTGACAAAATTGCATCCGAATACATCCGGTCTTGACAAAATTGCTTTTAGTTGCTGGCTAGAAGATTGTGCTGCCTGCTACATCTCGTATAGGATATGAACTTGTGTAGCTGTATTCAGATTATGAACCTATTTATTGTACATACATATAAAGAGATATGTGCATATATATAAGGTGTGTACCTCATTGTGTATGTATGATATAAATACATGTATGTTTATATATAGTTCAGAAGTAAATCAGTATTAATTTTAACATATTGTCAGCAGTTTTTATTAAGAAAATGCAGCAGTTTATTCAGTAATTTAGCATGTCATGGTTTTTTTCCCTTCATGTTATAACCTTTGGTTATTATGTTGCTTATTGTGTTTGCCATTTTTGATGCACACACAAGACACACTGCTTCTTGGTTCAGTACAAATTATCATTAGTGCTT